AAGAAACATACATGAAATATTAAATCAGTGGCTAAGATGTAACATTTATAAATATTGAAACCAGAACCAAATATAAACCAAAAAATGTTATAATACCTAGGATAGTGACTAAAATGAACCTAAAAGAAAATTTAAGCCTAAATCAAATATTAATCCCAATCGAACCCACAAGCCAACATAAAGGACCAAAATGAAAAGGATGCAAAACAGATGATCAAAATCATAAACCTCATCGAAAATAAAAACTAAGAGCAAAGATGGACTAAAATATAAATAAGGAAACATCAGAATCTGAAATCAAATAAATGAAACTTCATTTAATGGCTAAATAATACGGTTACAAAGCATCAGGGACCAAAAGAGTAGTTTACCCCTTAATATGAAAACACGGAAACCTCTAAACGGCGTCGTTTTTGAAACTGGGATATAATCCCATTTTAGGGTTATTAACCGAACCCTAAATCATTCTCACCCCTCTCTCAGCCTCCTTTCCTTTCCCTTTCTCTACTCTCCTTTCTCCCTCGCCGCAACAACCAAACAGAGGCTCCCCGGCCACCGTATCGGTGGCCATGGGGAGCAAACCGACCCCTAAAGACCCTCAATCCTCTTTCTTGTTGCCGAAAGAGAAAAGAAAACCCCGGCCACCGTGAATCGGTGGCCACGGGGTTATACGAATAAAACCCTAAACTCTCCCTCTATCCTCTGTTTAAATCGCTCAAAACCCTTGAAACACTCAACCCTAAACCAAAAACGATAACCCCTTTTGTTTACCTTCGGTGCGGTGGCCTAGCTTTGGTCTCGGCGAAGCCCACGGCAGAGGTATCACGAAAGGTAATCTCTTCTTTCCTTTTTCTTTTTATTTTTTCATATATTTTTTTTTTGGGTTTTCTCGGATTCCTCCTGTTTTTCAAACCTCCACCGAATCCCTCCTTTCTCTACTGCCTGTGCTTTAATCCTGCATTTGGTTGAGATGATGAGGTCTAGGAATAGGGAAATTATGGGTTGTTGATTTAGGGTGATTGAATCCCGGATTTTCGGGATTATAGGGATTTTTTATTTAGGATTTGGATATATATATATTTTTTCTGATTTGGGTTGATGGGGTTGCTGTTTGATTGATTTTTTTACTGTAGATGACGATGGTGGCGCGGGAACGGTGGCTGGACCATCGGAGTGGAGCGAGACGGGCCGGAACAGTGACGGCGGCGCGGCTGTTCACTTGCTGCTGGCGGCGGCGGCTGGATCATTTAGGGGATTAGGGTTTGAAACCCTAATCTGATTTAGGGTTTGAAACCCTAATCTGATTTAGGGTTTGAAACCCTAATCTGATGGGTTGATTGTTGGGCTCCGGGATTGGGCCTTTGGCCTGCAAAAATTGTAATATGTAATTAATAAACATAATAATAATAAATAATAATAATAAATAATAAAAATAACGATAATAATAAATATATATAAAAACCCGGACAAAAACGGGTGTCTACACTATTTTTTCACAATCATAACAAAACCTAAAAACTCTCTTTCTACGGGAAAAAAAACTTCTCTTCTCCAACTCAAACGTAACCCTACTCCACCCTCTTGTAATCTTGTTCACCCTTTTATAAAAAACCTACAAACTTTCTCCCCCAATAATCTTCTCTAACCCTCAAATGATCAAAATCAGACGGATCACACAGAACAATAATCATTCATAGGGTAGAATTTATTTACACAATTTGTGCCTTTTAATAATAAATCCAAACATCTAAACTTTAACCCTAAAAATTAGATTCTAGACTACAAATATTAAATTACAAACTTAAACACTAAATTTTAAATCATAAAATTTTAATCCCTTTATCTATAAATTCTGATAAAAAATCATTAAAATAAACAAATTTATATATTTTACCCTAATTATATATCATATATATATTTAAAAATAATTATATTAGTTTGTAATATTAACGGGTATAATTACAACTCACAAGCAAACGTTAAACATGAAAGTGAAATATATTTAAGTTAAATTCCGTGGGTCCAAATCGAAGCAAGTTGTTTGCACTAAATATTTATCTTTGCCTTCTTCAACTCTCAATGACTATATATACACACCGTCGTTTGGAATTTTGCTTTCATCTCGAAGAACGGTTAGATAAAAAGAAAAGCAAGCAAACGCGGATTCGATATAAAAAGTACAACAAGGAAGATGGGAAGATTAATTTGAAGTTGAGCTGCAAATCTTTTCTCTGATTCTTTTGTCTCCTTTTTTTAGAGGAAAAGAAGTTATGTCGCAGCGGAAAAGGCAAAGAACTTCTCGTAAATGCTCTGGGAAATCAGATCTATTTGATGGATTACCAGATGATCTTGTTATCTCCATCCTTTCAAAGTTAGCTTCTTCCGCCTCTTCTCCTCCTGATTTCATCAACATTCTCTTAACGTATGATTGAATTTTGTTTTCGTTTTTTATTTGAATTTTTTTAGTGTTTTTTGGAGTAATAATAATGGAGATTTTGAATTTTTTATTTTGATAGATGCAAGAGATTAAACCATTTGGCTGTTCATCCTCTGGTTTTATCAAAAGTCTGTTGTAAAGTGTTTGCCGTTAAAGCTCGAAATTGGTGTGACTCGGTTCATCGTCTTCTCAAACAGTGCGTTAAAGCCGGCAACGTTGAAGCTTGCTATACTCTCGGCATGGTCGGTGCTTTCTGTGAATTTTTTTCTTATTTTGTATTTTTTAAAATAAAATTTATTAGGAATTAACATAATTTGCCGCCGTTACAGATCCAATTTTACTGCCTGCAAAACAGACGAGGTGGAGCGTCGTTAATGGCTAAAGCAGCAATCAAATCCCACGCGCCAGCTCTATACTCGCTTGCAGTCATACAATTTAACGGGAGCGGTGGTTCAAAAAATGAGAAGGACCTCCGGGCCGGAGTAGCCTTATGTGCGCGAGCATCTTTCCTCGGTCATGTGGACGCGCTGCGTGAACTCGGCCATTGCTTACAAGACGGTTACGGTGTGCGCCAACATGTAGCGGAAGGACGGCGGCTACTCATCCATGCCAACGCACGGGAACTCGCGTCATCGTTAAATGAATTAGTCCAACGAAAAACTCAGCAACAACACCATCGTCGTTTAAACTACCACTATTACAATTTTAAAACGGGTTCGAGTTGTCCGTTGTTAAGTGATTTCGGGTGTAATGTACCACCGGAGGTCCACCCAGTGAACTCGTTCTTAAAAGAATGGTTCAAGTTAGAGGTGGTCGAGTTAGCGCAAGGGCTAAGACTTTGTTCTCATGAAGGGTGCGGGAGACCGGAGACAAGGGCTCATGAGTTCAGGAGGTGCTCGGTTTGTGGCATGGTAAATTATTGTTCGCGTGGTTGCCAAGCACTCGATTGGAAGCTAAGACATAAGGTGGAATGTACACCGATCGAACGAATGTTGGAAGAAGGCATTGGTGGTGGCAGGGAAAGGGAGGAGGTTGCGGAAGCGGAAGAGTAAGTATATAATTATAAAGAGTAAAATCGTGAAATCGTAAATGCAAATTATGGGTAAAAGAAATTCTTTTTTTCTTTTTGTTTAATGTTTGGAATGTTTTCATTTATGTACATAGAAGAAATGTTTCAACTTTTGAGATTTTAATTCTGTAGTTTTTAATGGAAAATGAAAAAGGAAATGTTGGGATTACATTTTTAATTATAATCAAGTTTATTTTTCAAAATAAATTACACTCGTATTCAATTGATTATGAGATATTTTAATCTGATTATTAATATTTTAATTTTACTAATTAAATTATTTAACTATTTAAATAACATCAACTAAATCATCATTTGACAAGAGCATTGAAAAATAAATAGATAATTATATAAAAATTTATTAACTTCAAGAAATATCTCATGTAAACTGTCACGGGTTAGATTACTATTAGCAAGCTCGTGCGGACTTAATTGCTTTCAAGATAAAAAAAACAGCTACGTAACCCAAACACAAAGCCAAGAGAACTTAAATGTGAAAAAAAACTAAGCAAAACAAAGAGAGGGACTCTCAAAAGGATAAAAGAGAAAGTATGAGTTAAAACTAACTTGTATTCCTCAAATGATATGTGAAAATTAGGCGGGATGAGCGTCCTTTTATAGTTGAAATCCCTTACCTCAACGGTTACATATAGATTATATCAATGGTTAAGACGAGTCTATCTTTTCTATAAAACTAAATTCTCTCATGATCTAGAATTCAAACAATGATAATTGTGGGATTTATTTATAAGATAATTAAGAATAATAATTATGTTTTTATCGTTTTATCTAAGATGAACAAGCCGGCTCCCTAGATATTCTGGAATGTCTGAAAGTTCCAAAATGTGGCAAAGATAGTATGAGGTTGATCTCTTACCTCAACGGTTACATATAGATTATATCAATGGTTAAGATGAGTCATCTTATCTATAAAACTAAATTCTCTCATGATCTAGAATTCAAACAAGGATAATTGTGGGATTTATTTATAAGATAATTAAGAATAATAATTATGTTTTTATCGTTTTATCTAAGATGAACAGGCCAACTCCCTAGATCTTCTGGAATGTCTGAAAGTTCCAAAATGTGGCAAAGATAGTCTTAGGCAACCTCAGCCTTGATCACATTTGGCTCGATCATGGACCAATAGTTCGTGACACAACCAATAGATTATTTGAATTCAATATGCACTACTAAAAAAAAGAATTCAATTGGCATGATAGCTCAAGTTAATAATTATCAAGCCTAATTCGAGTTTCTTTCAAACCAAATCCAAATTACATGCTATACATATTTGGTCACGCACAAAGGGCTGCTTATGCTGGCACAGCAGTTATGTATGATATAATCTCCTCCTCGACATTTTCCTAGGCAAAAAAAGAGAGCAATGTGGCTACAACATAAGAACTACCCTTGGCCAAGCCAAGTGAAATTACATACCCACCAATTTACGCCAAAAAACACCAATCTCATGCTACCATGCATGCGATTCATCTTCATTGTACTCGGCAAAGGGCTTAAAATTAGCAGCACGCACGGAACACAAATATTGAACCTTGAATAATTGTATTAGGTATAGTCAACCAACCATTTCTATGTCACTTGGTATCTTTTCTTGATCATCTGGGGAGTTAATAGATGCTAGTAAATCATCTATCTTTAGAGGAGAATGCCGAACCATGAACTGGAATATAACCTGCATAGCGGATTCGAGAATATTTATAATTTGAAGAAGCATTAGAAGATCTACATGCAATAATTTCGACAGGCTGATTACAGAATGAGAAGCAGTGATCACTTAAAGCGAAAAACACAGAAAGGCAAGCATGGACGACATGTCATCGTGTCTACTGAGAATCAACAGATCTTCGAATCAAGGCAGCCAAAAAGAAAGAAAATAAGGTAATAAACAGACAATTTGGTTGGGGATACTGTCTGAGCAAGGAAGCAACTGATGCAATGGTAAGTGCATCTATAGCCCCTCTACAAAGATTTGAATTGAATTCCCTGATTTCCCCAATCAAAATGAGATTGTAAATATGACAGTGACGGTGCAAACACCGAATGATCATAATAATTATTGTGGAACCAATTTTATTAAAAAAGTTTTTACAGCGGACAAGGGATTTTAAGAACTATCCTGATAAGAACTACTCCAAACCTTTGTCAGAAAGAGAGACAGTACGCAAAATGTCTCAAACATTAGCTAAATATGGCATTTACGTTTTCACCAAATGATTTGGGGATCGATTTTAATTTCAATAATAGAGCTATAAATCATATCATGCATTCTTTCTACCAACCTTTGAGTAGCTATCTGCAAAAGTACGTGCTCGGTTGGACTTGCCAAGATAAATCAAATCAGCCTTCTCCAGCTTCCCATCCACAAAACTCAATCCTCCATCACCAATAGCAAATCTTAAAAGGTTCCCTGATTGTACCCCTGACTGTGCATTTTGGAAGAGAGAAATATTAAACGTTAGCCACATGGACTGTTAAAAGCAAGGAAGGAGAGGAAGGATGCTTAAAGTTCTACAATTTGTTTTCCTTTCTAGCTTGTATTTCAGGAAATCAGGCTCATGAGCCTGCCATTTAACTCAAGTAGTAGACAGCCTTCATAGTGGAAGGAAACATGTCGGCATTATGGAACGTCAACAAGATGAAAACGTGGGTACTAAGCTCATTTGCATCAATTAGACAACATTTGTAACTATCACCATCTCAAAGGGGCTGCCAACTGAGACAACTAGAAGCTTGTTAGCTCGAGTCAGGATTTAAATCTTGGGGAGGCGAGCGGGGGATTACAGGATGATAAAGAGCTACCGTATTTTAACAAGCTCACATCCCAATTACCTATTTTGACTAGCTCACATCCCAATGACCGCACAACTTATCAAATTGAAGCAACAACTAACCGCACTGATATATCATAGAGTTTGACAAACAAAATAACAATCACCAATTATTGACGAACAAATCATTGTCATTAGTTGGAAACAATAATCGCATTATGCATTTGGCTCAGTATGGGTATTTACTACCATACCTTTTCTATGAAATCCCCATCTAAGCAGCCAAACAGCACTGGAGGGTCATCTGATGTTACCAGTTTTCTATCATCTTGTAGCTCCAAAACTACCTGACAACAGAGGAAATAACAATTGATTATACGTTACTTCATATATATAGGTTTAATAAAAATGAGATGCTATTTGTTTATTATTCGTCTTAAACCCAATTATCATATTTTTCTCTTTAAGGTATCCTCTCCAATTTAGTCCAAGAGCGCGACGCAAATGTTATTACGTGTTTTAGTGAGCTTTGTTTTTGAATTCCATAGCTAAATGTTATTATACAAAGTGTAATGGTCTGAACCAAGCCATCGGACAGAAACACGATTTTCCCTGTTATCAGCATGCACGGATTGATGATCATAAGATCAACCTATCTATGTTAAAATTGCAGCTTATAGACTACAACTCGCACAAATTAATGACACTAATTGTTGCTCTTCGGTATGGCAGTAAGAAAGAAGCACACCCTAATTTGTTTGAAGGGTTCATGAAGAAGAGGCAAGGGCATAGGAAGCATAGATGAATAATGGATAATATATCAAGATGCCTGTTGTTGGCTTGGAATCTCTCCTTTACCATCTGTGTCAATAGCATATTGACTACAATTCTCATCTTTCCAGACCAATACTAGTGTGTTTCCAGTTTGATAGTGTGCATGCCTGTGAATGAATTAAAATAAAACTCACTGGTTAAAATACATAAACAGCAGAGACAAAATATGCTATGCAGATATGTTGAGAGGTCCTAACAATAACAAAGAATTTAATAACAGGAAAAATAAGAAAAGAAGCAACGAATGTCCATCTTCAAGGGGATGGAAAAAGAAAAAGCTTCATCTATGATATCCGAAGACATCTTTAAATAATATAAGCAACTTTACCTAGTAAATAGGAGCAGCATCTTACTTAACAAGGGAGAAAGTCCAATTTTACTGGACAAAACCATTAAAGTAGGATAAAGACTTTACTCTACTCCTGAACTCTCATCTAATTATTTAACCAGCAGTCAGAAAGTGATAGATAGACAAGCTTTGGATTGCCAATGGAAAATAGCTTCTGAACATTAATAATAGAAAATAACAAAGTACCCAGAGTTTACACCATATATCATATTGTAGAATTATACCTATTTCTTAAATCACAAGAGAATTAAAATGAAAGCAATGCCCGTCATCCATGCACAAAAAAGCAAAGACATGACACTTACTACAGAGTAAATCTGATTCAAGAAAAACCTATTAAACTTAAGGCAATGGAAAAATGATAATGAAAACAGAGTAATATTCTTTAGGAAAAGAACTCACTTGTTATAAAATAGTAATCCATCCTTAACATAAGGCACGGCTCCAGTGTATGCTGCATATAGCCCACTCTGATCACAGTTATACACTGAAACAGCACTGAATCTAAATTTATGATAATGCGAAGGCGCATTGCAAGCACAGCTCTCTTCAAGCTTCGAGTTCAACCAATAGAATCTAAACTCAACAGTGCAATCATAGAGAGAGTATCCATTCCAACAAACCGTATCAATCACATAGTAAGTCTGATCCGACTGCAAAAAAAATTACCCTTCAACAGAATCAAAACCTAACAATGTACCAGCAATAACATGATTTTGATCTTCTATGTTTCGGGATTTTTATACCTCGTGGAAAATAAAATCCAGGATACAGTATGATTGAGCTGAGCCCGAGCCATTTCTGGTCTTGGCTCCAGCTGGTAAAGCCGACGGGAAATAATGCAAAATGGAGCCGTTCAGTTGTCTGCTGACAGTCGTTCCGTTTGATGAAACCACGAAACATCTCTTTCCAGCTGGCCTTGCAAGTACATACAAGATATTAAAATCGGAACTTTACTTCAGAAGCAAATTACAATGGTTCACAAATCCCTAATTAATACAACGAACGAATAGAAATATTTTTTAAAAAAATCCCTAATTACCAGTCTTGGCTCAAGCGATCAGGGACGTCGATCATCCACTCAGGGAGTATAAGCTGTCTCGCGAACCATTTTCGAACCTCCGGTCCTCGAAGTGTAGAAGCTCGACGGACATCAAGGTCTTTCGACAAATTTTCTGATTCATATTCGGTTTCGGGTACGGTTTCGATTTCGATGTCGGACTGCTCGGGTTCGGATTCGGGTGCTGAAGACTGGAGCGAGAGAATAGATGAGGCCAAGCAGCGAGCTTGATGTTGAGCGTTGCAACGATTCTGCGCTTGACGGAGCAGCGAGAGCTCTCTACGCTTCTGCTGGTCGGATATCACTGCTCGCTTGAACGGACGGCGAACGGGCGGAACGGTGCCCTTCCCTATACCCGTACCCACGTAATATTTTGGAAGATCACTTGCCTATCACTGGAAGAATAAATTTTTTAAATTTAAGTTCCTTATTTTGACAAAATCAAATAACATATTTTTACATTATATGTTAAGTGTTATAATTTTTATTTTATTAACTTATACTAATATAAATATGTATTATATGTTTTTGTCAAAATATAAAGGAAATGAATTTTTAAATAAAAAACATATTTTTATAAAGTATCACGTGTCATTTTGTCAGTGGTCATAAGGTTTCATATCATTTTTCGTGAAGGAAGTTGGTAAACCCTTTAACGACATAAAATATTATGTATGAAATCGAGAATTTTAAAACATTATGTTATGAAATTGAGAATTTGATATACTTCATGTATGAATTAGGTAATTAATCTAATTTATAATGGTTTAAAATTTATACGATGTGTAATTAGTGGGCGGGTAAATACAAGGTGAGTAGATATGAGGCGAGCGGATGTGAGGCGAATAAGGTCTCAAACTCATCACCTATTCATCACCCACGGTAAATATTATTTTTTACATCCATATCCACTCATTATCCACTAAATTTATATCTATTTCCACCCCAATTAAAACAAATATAATACAAAATCCACACAACTATACCCATAGTTATCCTTAATTTAAACCTTTCACGATGTTCTCCCTTGTCTCGTCTCAAAACGGTTTTGAATGCAGGTTTATCATGTTATAGTTTCGATAACAACAAAAAATAAGTTAAATTATTTATTTAGTAACCACACATTACTTTATTTTTATTTTATTTATTTAATTATTATTATTTTTAAATTATATTTATTTCTATTTTGATTATTCATCATAAAAACCAATAATATTAACATAATAATTTTTTATTTCCACGTCATTAACAAATCTCAATTTTTAGATCTTTATTTTAACTAAAAATATTTATATATTTATTTTGATTAAAATAATAATTTTATATATATCATTCGATAAAAAACATTTTAGTTATTTAAATGAAAATAATATAATTTAGATACTTAATTGTAATATATATTTTTTGATTTACATGAAGAAAAACACTTTAAATATCCATTGCTGCTTGAGCATCCATAAGCAAATGGTCCAACACTTCCGCTGGTGCCTCCGGCAATGATCAAGAATCCAGCGCTCCGTTCCAAGCTAGGCGTGCTAAGCCATCCGCCACTCGATTTCACTCCCTAGGGAAAAAATCGTAGCTGCCAATCCCGCTGAGTTAATTCCTGAAAATGAGGGACCATCGAAGAAATACCATCAATTTTGGGTTCTCCTTGAAGAACGACAATTGCCTCCTTGCTATCCGATTCAACAATAATGCTCCGATGATTCATATTCCAGGTCAATAGCAGATCCTTATAGAGGCCCCACAACTCCGCATCAATGACTGAGCAATAACCAAGGATTTGACCAAACCCCGCAATCCATTCAGCGTGTTCATCTCGAAGCACTCCATATGTAGAGAGTCCTGACGAAGGATTACGCGCACTATTCGTGTTCAGTTTAATCCAACCACCCAGAGGCTTCGACCACACAACATCTCGATTCACAACATGTCTCTGAGGAATAATGTTGCGCACCTTCTGTCGATACGCATGAAACACTTCTTCCGTGAGTCGACTACTTTGTTGGACAACATTCTCTCCCATTATGATTTCCGGGTCAAATATGATCTTGTTCCTACATTGCCATATACTCCAAAGCATCGATCCAAACATGATGTCTCAATCCTCCTCCACAATAGGATACCGATTTGGATTCCGGAGGTTTACCTCAAACCATGCCACCATACCCAAACTCAAAAACTCCTGTAACAAACTTGGTTTTATTAGTGACTCCCAAGCCATTTTTACCAACTGGTAGTCCCGAAAAATATGTTCCACATTTTCAACGGCATTGCCGCATATATGACAGCTGTAATCTAAAGCCAAATGACGTCTTACCCTCTTTGCATTCGACAACACTCGGCCATGGCAAAGCTTCCATAACAGCGCCTTCACTCTCGGCAGTCCACGAGACCCTTTTAAAACATTCCATGGACGAACCTGCTCCCTAACAATCAGCTCCGAACGCTTCTCGTACGCTCTAGAAATAGTGAAGACCCTCTTCTGCGAATCCTTCCAACCTATAATATCAGCTCCTCTTTCAACTAAAGGAAGACGCACAACAGTTAACGTGTGTTGAACAATGACAGAAATATTCCCGGAGATAATCCCAATATCACTCTCCAGTTTCGTTAGTCAGAGTGTTGATCATTTGCCTACTGGTAGCTCCTGTTGAGAGGAAAAATACTAGATTAAAGGTCCCAAATTGCCAAGCCATGTATCATACCAAAAATCAATTCGAGTCCTATCTCTTAGAGTCCAGACAATATTATCTCGAATGTCCTTCCAGACCATTGAAATGCCCTTCCATGTCATCAAACAGACACTCCAGTTCACATACTCATACATCCACTCACTCATCTTATACTTTGATCTTAAAACCCGGACCCATAGTTGATCCGTGTTTTGAATAAAAAGAATGCCAGCTTCATAAAAAACGCTTCATTCTATATATGGAACTTCTTCATACCAACGCCTCCCAGTTCCTTCGGTTTGCAAGTATCTTCCTACTTAACCAAATGAATAGACCGATTCTCACTTGTTCCTCCCCAAATAAAGTTCCTAATTAGCCTCTCAATATCATCATATATATTTTTTGGGAGATAACTCGTCTGCATAGCATATAACAGGATGACAGCCAACACCGCCTTAGCTAGAATAACCTATCCAGTGAATGATAAATGGTGTGTCTTCCATCCTGCTAGTCGATCCTGAACTTTTTTAATCAAGTACCCGTAAGTTGCAATATTTACTTTTGAATTAAGGAGTGGTACCCCGAGGTATATCCCTAAATCCTCCACTAGAGTAAACTGAAATCCCGAGCTTAACTCATTCTTACACTATTCTGACACATTTTTAGAAAAATAAATGTTTGTCTTTGTTAAACTTGTTGAAAAGTCTTGGCAAGCACCGAAAGGTGCTAATAAAAAAATTCCACCGAAAAAATTTGTCAAAAAGGTTGGGTTTTTGTTGAATTTTGGATAATGGTAAAATCATAATTTTAGCCATTGTAATTTAGGGTATTTACAAATTAGTCTTTAGAGCTTCAACTATAAATACTCTAGCTCATTTAGCTTCAAAACCATCCCAAAGCATTCTAGCTTTCTTCCAATACTAGGGAGAATATTAGAGAGTTTATTGAGAGTTGTTTTCTCCTTTTTATCAAGAGAGAATTATCATTGTTTCTCCTTGGTCGATCGAGAGAAGTTGTAATTCCTATTTTCTCATAGTGAAATTCTTCTACCGTTGCCCGTGGTTTTTACCCTATATTATTTAGGGTTTTTCACGTAAATTTTGTGTCTTCTTTATCTTCATTTTTATTTTCTCAAATTATCAGTTGCGATTTTGCTCTATCCGATAGCCGTCTTCCGCAACAATTGATATCCGAGCTAGATTAGAGTGTGTAATATCTGCTTATTGTCTTCGTGGTTGCCACCAAAAGGTGGATCCTCCAACATAAGAAAGTAAGAAGGTATTACCCATTCTTTGAAGGTTCCAGAGAACTATTCACGATAGTGAATTAGTGGGAGCTATCCGAAATAGAAGCTATGGCAACGAAATTTGATATTGAAAAAAATTTAATGAGAGAAATTTCTCATTGTGGAAATTGAAGATGAAGACCATCCTGAGGAAAGACGGATGTCTAGCAGCTATCAGTGAAAGACCGGTAGATTTTACAGATGACAACAAATGGATCTAAATGGACGGGAATGCTATGGCAAACTTTCATCTAGCATTAGCAGATGAAGTATTGTCAAGCATCGAGGAAAAGAAGACAGCAAAGGAGATATGGGATCATCTCACCAAATTGTACGATGCCACATCGTTGCACAATAAAATTTTCATTAAGAGGAAATTGTACACTCTCCGTATGCCAGAATCTACTTCAGTGACGGAGCACTTAAACACACTGAACACATTATTTTCTCAGCTTACATCCTTAAGATGTACAATAGAAGAACAAGAACGTGCTGAACTTCTACTTCAAAGTCTACCTGATTCGTATGATCAACTCATCATCAACTTGACAAACAGTAATGTCACCAGTCTAGTCTTCAATGACGTTGCAACTGCTGTTCTCCAAGAAGAAAATCGACGCAAGAACAAGGAAGACAAACAAGTAAATCTGCAACAAGCAAAAGCATTGACAACGATGAGAGGGAGATCAACAGAATGTGGCCAAAGCAGCAGTCACAAACATGGTAGATCGAAGTCGAGGAGCAAGAAGAATTTAAAGTGCTAAAACTGTGGAAAGAAGGGTCACTTGAAGAAAGATTGTTGGAATCTAAATAAAAACTCCAATCCACAAGGTAATACCACAAACACTTCAGATGATGGAGATGCTCTATGCTGTGAAGCGTCAACCACCGTGGAAGAAAGAAAAATATTTGCAGATATATGACTCATTGATTCAGGAGCAACATATCACATGACCTCAAGAAGAGAATGGTTTCGTCAATATGAACCTGTCTCAGGAGGATCTGTGTATAGTTGCAATGATCATGCCTTAGAGATCGTTGGCGTGAGGACCATCAAATTGAAGATGTATGATGGAACAATTAAAATTGTTCGAGATGCGAGACACGTGAAAGACCTGAAGAAAAATTTATTATCCTACGGATTGTTGGATAATAATGCAAGCAAGATTGAAACACAGAAAGGAATCATGAAGGTGTTTCGTGGAGCGCTTGTGGTGCTGAAAGGCGAAAAGATAGCTGCAAACTTATACATGCTGAAGGGAGAAACTTTGCTAGAAGCAGAAGCCTCTGTTGCCTCATGTAGTTCAGATTCTGCAATGCTATGGCATCAGAAACTTGGACACATGTCAGAACAAGGAATGAAAGTCCTTGTGGAGCAAAAGCTACTTCCAGGCTTAACAAAGGTATCACTTACTTTATGTGAGAATTGCATAACAAGTAAGCAGCACCGGTTGAAATTCAACACATCAAATTCTAGAGGCAAAAGTGTTCTAGAACTGGTTCACTCTGACGTATGGCAAGCACCAGTTGCATCCCTAGGCGGAGCAAAATATTTTGTCTCATTTATTGATGACTACTCCAGGAGATGTTGGGTGTACCCTATTAAGAAGAAGTCCGATGTGTTTTCAACTTTCAAAAACTTCAAAGCGCGGGTGGAACTTGATTATGGAAATAAAATCAAGTGTTTCAGAACAGATAATGGAGGAGAATACACAAGTGAAGAATTTGATGACTTTTGCAGGAAAGAAGGCATCAAAAGACAGTTCACAGTGGCGAACACTCCTCAACAAAATGGAGTGGCAGAGCGGATGAACAAAACCTTGTTAGAAAGAACAAGAGCAATGTTGAGGGATGCAGGCATAGAAAAATCATTCTGGGCAGAAGCAGTCAATACCGCCTGTTATTTGGTGAATCGAGCTCCATCAACTGTAATATAGCTGAAGACACCAATGGAGATGTGGACTGGTAAACCAGCTGATTATTCAAACCTCCATGTATTTGGAAGTATAGTGTACGTGATGTACAACTCCCAAGAAATTTCAAAGTTGGATCCAAAATCCAGAAAATGCAAATTCTTGGGGTATACTGATGGAGTTAAGGGGTATCGCTTGTGAGATCCCACTGCCCGCAAAGTGATCATTAGTAGGGATGTTATCTTTGTAGAAGATAAGCTACAAAGAAAAGAAGAAGATGGTAGCGCTGAAAAGTCAGAGACTATGCAGATACATGTGGAAAAAGAGTTTGAACAAGGAGATTCTTCTGAATCAGAACCAACACATGATGAACAAGAACCAGAGAGTTCTGAAGCTCCAACAACTCGTCAATCAGATCGTGTGAGAAGACGTCCCAATTGGCAATCAGATTATGTTATAGAAGGTAATATTGCATACTGCCTTTTAACAGAGGACGGTGAGCCATCAACATACCAGGAGGCAATAAACAACTCAGATGCTTCACTGTGGATGATGGCGATGCAAGAAGAAATTGAAGCCCTTTATAAGAATAATACATGGGACCTTGTGCCACTACCACAAGGAAGGAAGGCAATTGTTAACAAATGGGTCTTCAAAATCAAGCGAAATGGTGTCGATCAAGTAGAGAGGTATCGTGCAAGACTGGTGGTCAAAGGATATGCTCAAAAAGAAGGTATTGATTTCAATGAAATATTTTCTCCTGTGGTTCGACTAACAACAGTTCGAGTAGTTTTGGCAATGTGTGCTACATTGAACTTACATCTAGAGCAACTAGATGTTAAAACAGCTTTTCTTCATGGAAATCTTGAAGAAGAGATTTACATGCTCCAGCCTGAAAGTTTTGAAGAAAAAGAAAAGAAGAACTTGGTTTGCAAGTTGAACAAATCTCTGTACGGTCTAAAGCAGGTGCCGAGGTGTTGGTATAAGTGATTTGATTCCTTCATTATGTGCCTTGGATACAACAGACTTAACGCAGATCCTTGTGCTTATTTCAACAGGTCTGGTGATAACGATTTTGTTATATTGCTGTTGTATGTAGATGACATGTTGGTTGCAGGACCCAACAAAGATCATATTGAAGAATTGAAGGCACAACTGGCTAGGGAATTTGAAATGAAGGACTTGGGATCAGCAAACAAGATTCTAGGGATGCAAATTCACCGAGACAGAAGTAATAGGAAGATTTGGCTTTCACAAAAGAATTACTTGAAGAAGATCTTGTCACGATTCAACATGCAAGATTGTAAGCCAATTTCTACCCATCTTCCTATTAACTTAAATTTATCCTCCAATATGAGTCCTAGCAGTGAAGAAGAGAGGATGGAGATGTCTCGAGTACCGTATGCATCAGTAGTGGGAAGTTTAATGTTCGCTATGATATGCACAAGACCAGACATTGCACAAGCAGTGGGAGTGGTTAGTCGGTACATGGCGAATCCAGGCATAGAGCATTGGAATACAATAAAGAGGATCCTGAGATACATCAAAGGGACCTCAAATGTTGCATTATGTTACGGAGGATCAAATTTACTAATAAATGGGTATGTAGATTCTGACTATGCAGGGGATTTGGATAAAAGCAAATCTACTACAAGATATGTGTTCAAAGTTGCTAGTGGAGCTGTAAGCTGGGTTTCTAAGTTGCAATCAGTTGTGGCTACATCCACAACAGAGGCAGAATATGTAGCAGCTACACAAGCCAGTAAAGAAGCAATTTGGTTGAAGATGCTGTTGGAGGAGCTTGGGTATAATCAAGAGTATGTCTCTCTATTTTGTGATAGTCAAAGTGCCTTGTATCTAGCAAGGAATCCAGCATTTTATTCAAGGACAAAACACATACGAGTTTAGTACCACTTCATTCGTGAAAAAGTGGAAGAAGGAACGGTAGACATACAGAAGATCCATACCAAAGACAACATAGCAGATTTCATGACGAAGGCAATCAATGCTGATAAATTTACCTGGTGTCGATCCTCTTGTGGCCTGTCAGAAACGTAAGCAACATGAAGGTACAAGGTAGAAAGAATGGTGTGAAGATATGATTGTTCCAATCAAATCTTCAAGTGGGAGATTGTTGAAAAGTCTTGACAAGCACCGAAAGGTGCTAATAAAAAAATTCCACCGAAAAAATTTGTCAAAAAGGTTGGGTTTTTTTTGAATTTTGGATAATGGTAAAATCATAATTTTAGCCATTGTAATTTAGGGTATTTACAAATTAGTCCTTAGAGCTTCAACTATAAATACCCTAGCTCATTTAGCTTCAAAACCATCCCAAAGCATTCTAGCTTTCTTCCAATACTAGAGAGAATATTAGAGAGTTTCTTGAGAGTTGTTTTCTCCTTTTTATCAAGAGAGAATTATCATTGTTTTCTCCTTGGTCGATCGAGAGAAGTTGTAATTCCTATTTTCTCATAGTGAAATTCTTCTACCGTTGCCCGTGGTTTTTACCCTATATTATTTAGGGTTTTCCACGTAAATTTTGTGTCTTCTTTATCTTCATTTTTATTTTCTCAAATTATCAGTTACGATTTTGCTCTATTCGATAACCGTCTTCCGCATCAAAACTGACCTTGTGACCGAAGCAGAGCAAAAGTCCTGGAGAATGGTTTTTATGACATCAACATGAGTGTGAGTGGCATCTGTAAAAAGAACTAGATCGTCTGCGAAAAAAGATGAGATAATGCAGGACCACATCACGATAAAAGTATTGGTTTCCAAACACCATCATTTACAGCCTTCTGAATTAACTACACCAATCGCTCCATACATAACAAAAAAATGTATGGGGATAGTGTATCCCCTTGTCGGATTCCTCTTGTTGGCTTGAAACTATCAATTTTCCTATCATTCTACAAAACCTGATTAGTCGCAGATGTAATACAGTTTATGATGAGTCGTCGCAATCCCTCAGGAATACCCAAATCCATCATAGTATCCTCAATGAAATGTCATTTCAGTCTATTATATGCTTCTTCTAAATCAATTTAATCATCATCCATCCTTTCTTCCCCTGCTTTTGCTTCATCGAATTGATTACCTCATGAGAAATAACTATGTTGGTTGTAATGCTTTGATCCGGGACAAAACTCGTATAATTTTCCATTACCCATCTAGGTAGGAGGGACTTAAGTCTATTGACAACTATCCTTGTTATCGCCTTAAAAATCACAGTGCATAAACTAATTGGGTTGAATTGGGAAAAGTTTTCCAGACTCGTTACCTTTGTAATAATAATCAAAAGAGTCTGATTAATGTCAGCTGGTACTTCACCCTTGCGGAAACATTCATACACAAAACAACACACGTTTGGTCCATTGATCTCCCAATTCTTCCAATAGAAAGTCGCATGAAACCCATCAATATCTGGAGCTTTATGTTGGGATCGAAGAGACTCAATTGAACAACTGAAAAAGTTGAAAGGGGGAAATTGACAATAAAATGTTTAGGGAGTAAGGAGAGCAAAAGATAGAGAAAATTTGGCACAATGATTTATAGTAGTTCGACTTATCAACCAAGTCTACCTCCATTACCTTAGCTCCTCGTTAAGGATTTTCTAACAAATTCACTAATATGTTCTTTTTTTTCAAGGACAAAGAGATAACATTTACAAACTCCCTATCTTTTTACTTGGCTAAGATAGAAGCAAAACCCCTTTACAAAAGGGTAAAAGAAGTAAACAAAGAAACCTCTATAAGGTAGGTGTTTACAAAATTTAGCTCACTAAAACACAAATATTTACAAGAGAATTGAAATAAAGAGTTAAAAGCTATTCTCTTGTGTATGGTTGCTTGGATAGGTATTCTAACCACTCTTCAAGTGTCTTGAACTTGTATTTGTTGTTGTGGCCGTTTCTGGCCGTTAGAAGCGTTTTGGAGCCATTGAGGATCAATTTTCGTGCAAAATAAAACTGTCCAGAACAGAGGGTATCGGTACTCCTAAAGGGAGTATCAGTACTACCTTTGTTTATATTTAAATCAACTAGCCGTTACTAGCCGTTGGGGCCTGATGGTATCGATACTACTATGCAAAGTAGTATCGATACCCCTTTGGGTATCGGTATATTTTTGCATTTTAGAATTTGAGCAATACTGGTAGTATCGATATTATCATGTGGGTACTATATGAACAGTATCAGTACTGTTCATGAGGTATCGATACTGTAAGAACAGTATCGGTACTTCTTGTCCAGAAAATTATTTTGTGTTTAAATCCACTATTAAGGACTTTGAATTATTTTTGAAAACTTTGAATAAATTCAATTGAAGTCCAAAAACATTTTACCTTAAATGTTATATCAAAATATAGTTCAACATTTTATCCGAGTGTATCTCCATAAAAGCTTGCTTTATCTCATCATCTCTGATATCTTTAGCCAATTCACTGAGTGTGTCATGAGAGAAACGGAAGAAAACATTCCTCATGTGATATACTTGTCTCATCTCCCCACTTGACGTAAATAAGTTCCGAAAGAAAGTAACGACCTCACTTCTTTATTGGTTTTGATACTGGCACCACCTCTCATCACCTAGTTTTATAGAGAATATGGAATTTTGCCTTCTACGAGCTTTGGCGCACATATGATAAAATCAAGTATTCATATCCACATCGTTGATCCAATCACAACGCGCCTTTTGCCTCCATACGCTCTCCTAATCCTCCAAAACTGATTCAAGATCTTTACGGAGTTCATATTCAAGAATTTTTAAGTAGCTTGAATCTCTTTCCAGTAGGACCTTATCTATTCCCCGTAAATGAGCCATGATACGTTTTTCCTTCAAACTAATACTGCCAAATACCCTGATATTCCACTCCTTTAGCATTACTTATAGATTTGTTAAATTATGCCTAACATCTAAATCTCTCGCCTAACTGGAGCTTAACAGCCCCTTGAAATCATTGTGATTTTGTCATGCAAGAATAAAACGAAATGCAAGTGTTTCACAATTAGCACTTACCTGATAAGGTCTCAATAAAATCGGTCGGTGATCCGATCCAGCTTATCGAGATGAAGAACAATGGAGTCTGGATAACATCGTATCCATTCCTCATTAGCCAAGAAACGATCGAGCCTTTGATGAAGGGATCCCATCGACCACGTGAATCGCGGACCATGAAACCCTAAATCCCTCAAACCATTATCAAATACAAAATTAGTAAACATCCTACTAGGCACAATCCTTCGAAAGACTCCTCCCCGTCTCTCATCAATACTAAGGAGAACATTAAAATCACCATCATTATCCGCAGAGAATTTAGCCCCGTATCCAAATCGCTAAGACTCACCCACACATTATTACAAATCGAAACCATTGGGCTAGCATACACCACTGTGATAATCATTGGATGCCTAAGACAACCATCCTCCACTAAAACATGAACAAACTAATTTGCTACACGGATAGCCTCCACTTTCACCGTGTCCCTCCAAAGCAGCTATATACCCTCACTGAAACCATGCGCCTCCATCCTAAATGAGTTAAAAGATCCCAATTACTGAATAACTTCATTCTCGCGGTGACCACTTATCCGCAGCTCAAGTAGCGCTACTACGGAATGATTATAGTTGACCATATACTGACAAAAATGATGAAGAAAACTAGGGCTTGCAACACCCTGACAATTCCAAACCATAAACTCAAACATGATAGAGAAAACAATCAAGGGTGCACTACATCATTCTCCCTCGGCATCGGATCTATCCGAGCCCTTGGCACGTTATCAAGGGTCCTTTCCACTTCACTAATTGTGTCCTCCACTCTTGTTTCTGACTATCCATTCCCCAAGCTATCTATTCGAGCAGGCACAAATTGTACCCACTCGACATGAATAGGCTAATTAGGAGCATTGTAAATCAAATTCCGCTTCATACTACGACCCTTGTTGTCTGCTTATGTCATTTTGCTATTCGCCCCGCCTTTATGGATGTAACCCTCTCCCTTATCCCTATTTTTTTTCTCAATTACACTATCATTTATTTTCATTGTTGCATGGTTACCACCTTATATATTTGGGAACACTACGGAAACACTCACATCATTTCCCACCAGCTTTGGCGCCACACTCATATTTGTCATGTCTGATCTGCTGGAAAAAGTATTTGTCACATCCCCCAAAGGTTTCGTGTTCATCCTTGTTCAGTTTCCACTCTTATCTACTGATTGGGACTTATCGCTAGAACTCCCATTTTTTCTTTTTGCGTTTTACTACCAGATTGATTCTGAATCGCCCCAAGAAATTCTTTCCCTTTACTTCTTTTGTTTAACTCACCTGCTACGACAACCCCCATGTTACCTTCCTCAAAGTCCTTACTGGTTCCCTCGACAGCATTCGACTCACTCTGGAGAACTGTAAATCGTGATTTTTGTGAAGCTCATTCTGCTTTATTTGCTGAGCTTAGTTTGATTAGGAACACCGTGCCGCTAGATGTGGAAAGGCTTTATGGTTCGATCCGGAGAGTTTCTCTTTCATTCGCGGTAAATGAAGGGGAACTTGGTGAGGAATTCGAGAGTTTCGGAGAAGTTGATAGCGAAAGATGGTGCTTTCACGATCGAGGACTGAGTTTAGGTGATGATTTATGTGTGGATTTGATACACACTGATGCTATTATTTAATTGAAAGAGATTGTTGAGCGGATGATTAATTCTGGGTATGAAAAAGAGCGTGTTCAAGCTAATAGTAATGTTAGGCATGATGCTTTGGTTGAGTGTTTAGTGATTGTTGGAGTTGAGAAGTTAAGTGTCGAGGAAGTTCAGAAAATTAAATGGAAAGCTTTGGACGAAAAGATGAAGAAATGGATTCAGGCGGTTAAGATTACTGTTAGGGTTCTTTTGAATGGGGAAAAGAGGCTTTGTGATCAAATTTTTAGTGGGTCGAATTTGATTAAAGAGATTTGTTTTAACGAGACCACGAAAGGGTGTATAATGCAGTTATTGAATTTTGGGGAAGCTGTGGCTATTGGGAAAAGATTATCTGAGAAGCTGTTTAGGATCCTAGATATGTATGATGCGTTAGTATATGCATTGCTCGAATTTGATGTGATGTTCACGGACAACTATATGTGCATTGAGGCGAATGGAGTGTTGGTTGGATTAGGGGATGTGGCGAAAGGGACATTTTTGAGTTTGAGAGTGCTTTGAAGAATGAGGCTTCAAAGAAACCTATGCAGAACGGGGAGATTCATCCGCTTACTCATTATGTGATGAATTATGTGAAACTTCTTGTGGATTATAGTGAGACTTTGAATTCATTATTGGAGAGTGATGAGGATGAAGCAGAGGGATTGCAGAGTGAAGATGGTGAGCTAGAGACAGTGACTCCATTTGCCAAACGGTTGTTGTTGTTAATATCCTCTTTGGAATCCAATCTTGAGGAGAAATCAAAACTGTACGAGGATGGTGCACTACATTATATCTTTTTAATGAATAATAATATGTATATAGTGCAAAAGGTGAAGGATTCAGAGCTAAGAAAGCTTTTGGGAGACAATTGGGTTCGTAAGCGGTGTGGCTCGATTTGCCAGTATGCTACAAGTTATCTGAGGGCTTGTTGGACCAAAGCTTTGTATTGTTTGAAATATGAAGGAATTGGTGGTAGCTCGAAAAATGCCTCCAAGGTAGTAGCCTTGAAGGAAATATTTAAGAGCTTCAATGCATGTTTCGAAGACATATATAGGATACAGACAGGTTGGAAGGTCCCAGATCCTCAACTTCGTGAAGAGCTTCGAATTTCTATTTCAGAGAAAGTAATTCCAGCTTATCGCTCTTTCATGAGGAGGTTCGGAAGTCAGCTAGATAGCGGAAGGCATGCTGGAAAGTACATCAATTATAAACCTGATGACTTAGAAAACTATCTATTGGATTTGTTTGAAGGAACCCCTCTTGTTCTTCACCATATGAGAAGAAATAGTACATAGAATCCTGGACTATTGATACAGGTATATGCCCTATCCACTCTTCAAGAACTAATAGGAGCGAGAGTATTACCGATATACGTTTCTGATGATTTTTTTTTAAAAATATTTTAAACACATAAATTGTATCTTGTACATGTTTATAGTTTATAGTTTTTATGTGTGGATTTTCTGGTGGTTCGTATAGCTTTATTTCATGAAACACCATTAGCATTGTGGTAATATTGTTACCTCTCCATTTTGCCATGTCTTATAGGCCAATATCGTTCACAATTTTTCGTAAGTGTCTAAACTTCTTTGTCCGCTGGAACACAAAGTTCTCCTTGTGTAATATCAGTATATGGACTTATAACAATGTTTTGTGTTTAGGATTGAAACCTATAAACATATTTTGAGTCCCAATTGTGCTACGTCATGTTACTAATACCTTCTTGTAAGATTTTACATGATACTTTTGTATAATATGATGAGTATCTAGTTATGTCGTCTTATAGGAATGGCTACATCTCTTGCACTTTTATTTCTTTATTTTTTTCTGAAGTTTTTATTCGAAAATTGTATCTTCGGTGAAAAAAAAAGGGGCATAATGAATAGAGGTTTGGACAATGTCGGGTTGGTTATAACCCATGCAGTATAGATGATAATGTTCTTCTGCAAGAAACATTTGTCAAATGTGATTGAAGAAGCAATCAAGCAGAGAAATTTTGTTTACATACTTCTGCTGTTAATTTTATGTGTAGGATAATTAGGAGATTCATTGTTTAAAGCACGAATCCGGTGTACCGGGTGAACATGAGATTAACCCGATGTAACATCTTGCAAACCATCCACTATATGATATGATGAAGGAAACTTCAAGAACTGATACGTTCCAAAGTAAATTAATGTCTAATATGTTGATGATTTTTCTATAATATGTCTAATAGTTTTCGAGTTAGTATTTTAGATGTTATCCATGTTATATGTCCAAGTGTTATGAGTATTGGTGGAAAAGTCAGCAAGGGAGGCCACCGAAAGTGGCAAGGGAGCACCAATTCAAAAAGGGTGGGCACCGAATTCGGTGCCCAATTTTTATTGAAAATTCAAATGGGGAAATTACATTTTAGTCCCTGTACACTTTAGGGTATTTACAAAATTAGTCTTTAAGCTTCAACTATAAATACCATAACCCATTTAGCTTCAAAATCATCCCAAATCATTTCTTTCTCCCAATACTAGAGAGCTTTCTTGTGAGTAGTGAGTGTTTTGTAAACACCTGTAAATTTTCTCTCTTTAGTAAAAGATCTGCAGTAGTCCGAAGACGTAGGCATAATTGGTTGAACTCCGTTATCAATTTCGGGTATTATTTTTCCTCTTTTATTTTGCATTCTCACTAATTTGGTTATAGGGAAATTACTTGGTTATTTCCCAACAACTGGCATCAGAGCTTTTGGTAGTGAATTTTGTCCGTTTTTTGCGAGGTTACTATTCATTCTATTCATGTGAATAGTAAATTTTGTGAATAATAAATTTTGTGAATAGTAAATTTTGTGAATAGTAAAAATTTTGTCGGTGATACGAATTTGTCGACGGAGGTGTTCTAATACACGGTGGTTCGTGAAAATTGTCAGAAACGATCCAAAGAAGCCTGATTCGAGCGGGAGCGATGGCTGCAAACGAAGGAAAGGTGAAAATTGAGAAGTTCAATGGTGCAGACTTTGGCTTTTGGAAGATGCAGATTGAAGATTTTCTGTACTAGAAAAATTTATATCAACCTCTCTCAAGAAAGCAACCAGAGGGCATGAAGAATGAAGACTGAGCTCTTCTCAACACAAGCCCTCGGAGTTATCCGACTGACATTATCCCACAATGTTACTTTTAACATAGCAAAGAAAAAGACCACGACGGGTCTTATGGCGGCTCTCTCCAGTATGTATGAGAAGTCATCAACCTCAAACAAAGTTCACTTGATGATGCGATTATTCAATTTGCAGATGGCGGAAGGGGCATCATTGGCTCAACGCCTAAATGAACTCAACACAATCACAACCCAGTTGAGTTCCATGAAAATTGAATTCGATGATGAAGTTTGAGTTTTAATTCTCTTATCATCTCTACCAGACAGTTGGAATGCTACTGTTACAGCAGTCAACAGCTCGTCGGGAAACAACAAATTAAAATTCGACGATGTTCGGGATCTGGTATTGAGTGAAGAAATTCAACGGAGAGAATCGGGTGAAGCATCAAGCTCCCCAGCCTTGCACACGGAGTCTAGAGGGAGAACTTCAAAAAGAAATTTAAATTGTGGCAGATTGAAATCCAGAACAGGAAAATCAAGAACGTGAAAGAAAGATTTTACCTGTTATAATTGTGGCAAGAATGGTCACTTTAAAAGAGATTGTCGAGCACTGAAGAAAGATACCGGCGCACAGGAATCTGCCAACATGACAAAAGAGACAAGTGATGCCATAATTCTAAGCGTCAACAGTCCGATTGAATCATGAATCTTGGATTCAGGGGCATCTTTTCACTCCACCTTATGCCAAGAAATCATGGAGAACTATGTTAGTGGTGATTTTGGGAAGGTTCATCTAACTGATGATGAAACCTTGAAGATCGTCAAAAAATGAGACATCCGATTAAAGTTTCCAAACCAGACCACGTGGAAGCTGAAAGAAGTGAGACATATTTCTAGCCTCAAAAGAAATTTGATTTCTGCAGGGCAGCTTGATGGAGAAGGATATAGTACAATCTTTTCAGGCTGTGAATGGAAGATTACTAAAGGAGCACTCGTCATTGCTCGTGGTAAGAAGACTGGTACTCTCTATGTAACCTCAAATTTAGAGTATATCATTGCAGTAGCAGATGCTGATGGAAAATCAAACCTATGGCACCAAAGGCTTGACCATATGAGCGAAAAAGTGATGAATACACTTTTGTCAAAAGGGAAGCTGTCGGATCTAAAGAATGTAGATGTCGGACTATGTGAGTATTGCATATTTGGAAAATAAAAGAAAGTCAGCTTTGCAAAGATTGGCAAGACACCCAAGGCAGAAAAGTTAGAGTTGGTTCATACTGATGTATGAGGACCATCTCCAGTTTCATCTCTTGCAGGCTCATTATATTATGTCACTTTTATCGATGACTCTATGAGGAAAGTGTGGGTTTATTTTCTAAAGAAGAAGTCAGAAGTCTTTGATACATTCAGAAAATTGAAGGCCATGGTGGAAAATGAGACTG